AGACGTATAAACAGTGCTTTACAGCATTCAGTCTCTTGAAAGACGTATAAATGGTGCTTTACAGCAGTCAGTCTCTTGAAAGACGTATAAACGGTGCTTTACAGCATTCAGTCTCTTGAAAGACGTATAAACGGTGCTTTACAGCATTCAGTCTCTTGAAAGACGTATAAACGGTGCTTTACAGCATTCAGTCTCATGAAAGACGTATAAACGGTGCTTTACTGAATTTTTCTGTGAAAACTTCGATGATAAGACTAAAATGAAAAGAAGGGAAACTTCCCTGTCAGTCCTACACTTAATCTATCACAGTAATGTTTTCGTCGGTTAAAACAACTAAGTGAGTTATGCCGTGGAAAATTCTTTAAGATGTGATCTTCAAGACCGGAACAGGGAAAAATTCAACTCTAGGAGTGGAAGCAGAAAGACTAGGCAGAAAAGAAAAAGGTAATTGAGTTAAAAGTATTCTTATTAACTTGAAGGTAGTCTTATTCATATTACATGCATGGCATTTTTATTCTTTAACGCATTACGCAAACTCTTCCACCGTTAAAAGTTATTGTTTTTATTCAATCTCTAACTTTACAGTCGAGGGCTAGAATATTGATCAGCCACATTTACTTCTCTGTTTATCCTGCTTAATAGTATTTCCCATTTTGTTTAGAACCACGATGCGAACATAGCTTAAAAATGAACTACCGGAATATTATGAAATTAATTAGAACTCTCATTTTTACTTTCTCGTATACGAAGTATACAAAGAGAAAGTATTGTAATCGTCAAAAAATTCGGACTCGAGATTTTGACGGATCTCCACGTTTTAGACCTCCCTGATTCCGAAAAACACAATTTTGGAATTATGTCTGTGTGTGTGTGTCTGTCTGTGAACACGATAACTCGAATACTATTTTAACTACGGGGATGAAATTTGGTATGTGGCCTAAACCTGTAAACATAATTTGCAGGTTTCTATCAAATTTTGGACAAAATCCGTCAATGGGAAGTCTGTCTGTATGTATGTCCGCGGTCATGTGAACACTATAACTCAAAAACTTGAATAGCTAGATGGATAAAATTTAGTACACAGTTTTATCGGCATGAATGCAGGCCCGTATTAAATTTTGGGCCAAATCCGTCAAAAAAGGGCGTTCAAATTGCATATTCAATTTCTTTTAATCCGATTCTCATGCGCATGCGTATTGGTAGCAATCTGTTATTGTTGTAAATTTTATTTACAACAATAAATAATGTTCTCAAACAAGAATTGTAACAAATTTTTTATTGTTGTAAATAAAATTCAAACCGATCTCATTATTTCAGCAAATCTTTTATTTACGAGCTTTTGCAATTGTTACGATTGTGGTAGTATAAATTGTTTTCTTGGGAATTCAATTCCAAAGCAGAATTTTCGCGTTAGTATTCATTTCATTGACTATTTTATCTCACCTGCTTCAAAGTAATATTTTTTTGAAACGTGGCAACAGATATTTGATTTCAGGTTTGTTGGTTTGTTTCACTTTCTCGTATACGAAGTATACAAAGAGAAAGTATTGTAATCGTCAAAAAAAAAAATTCGAACTCGAGATTTTGACGAATCTCCACTTAGAAAGTATACGAGAAAGTTTAGGGGAGACCACTCCCGCTGGTTTTACATCTGATTGTCTTAACCTAGTCAACTGAAATAAAATACTGCAACGGAGTTCATTGCAATGACGTTACAAAATTAATAAAAATTCCAATCTTTTCCTTCTGACAGTTTTGACGTAGCCAACGAGAATAAAATACTGCAATGGAGTTTTTTTAAGTGACGCCAGGTTCGAAACCTGATTCCACTGAAGATCCGCCGTCTATGTTGTACGCTAAATCATACGTAATCATAATATCATTACTTTTTTACCCTTCCTCTAGTGTGGTGCTCAACACCTACTCCGGCCCGACCCACCCAATAGGGTGTAAGGCCTGATAACAGGAAGGAGGGGAAACGCTGATGTGGTGCAGAAGTTTGGAGAAGGGGTGTTGGCACAGATGTCGTCATCGTCATCTGACCCCGGTTCAAAATTACGAGTTCCGTTCTAAAATAGCCTTTGTGTTGCTTCAAAATGGAACATTAATATAAATAAACTAAACTGAACAAAAGACTTTAAATTTGATTAATTAAAATTTGGAGAAGGAAATAAATAATGATGTCAATCAATTATTAAATTATTCAAAATTAATTTTTTTTTAAATCACAAAGGTGCAAATATGGAACATTTAGATCCAACAAAATCGATAAATTAAAGTACATATTGGAATGCAAGTGATAGGAATATTAACGAATATTAAATTATATTGTATTATTTTCAGGAATGCTTTTAATTACATAGTTAGAAATAATTTAACTCTATTCCAAAATTAGAAATTCTTTCAAATTCTGGATCATTTAAAAATATTTGTTACAAAAGACTTCGCGCAACTCCTAATTTCAATAGATAATTGCAACATTTTTTATTTAAACAAATTGCAAAGCAAAATCAATCTATTTTTCTCTGTGCGCCATTTTTCCAAACACCTTTTCAGATTAAAAAAGCACGTTCAAAGAGTGCGAAGGAAGAACATGTAATTATTTTAAACCCAAGTAGCAAGATCAAGAGTTATGATCCTGGGAAATAATTATTTCAGCCGTTCCTCTCATCTTAATTACTTTTTTATTGATCTTAAATGACTTTTCGAGCAATTAAGAAATGCGAGTTTTGACAATAATCTCCTTTTCGAACGCAGAGAACGTTCAGATGAAAAAATAAAAGTTAATAATAACAACCATAATCTCACGCAATACTCCAATTAAGTTGTGATCCAAATGCAACTTCCCAGTTTCTTTTTAGTTTTTCATTCCTAGAAATGAATTTTCCCCTTTTTGTTGTATTGGGAATAATGAAATATACGTTTCGGTAAGTTGACAGGTCTTGTATTGTTTATAGTTAATCATTGTTCAAATGAAATGGCTCGGGGAATTTTTCTTCTTTCTTTTGGGGATGTATTGATAAATGCAATCTTTTGCTCGAGACTTTGAATTTTTGTTGCTTTGTCACTGTAAAATTTCTGAGTCACACTTTTCCGACATTATTGAATAACAAGAATTTATCTTCAAAGTTATATTTAGTAACAGTAATTAAATCTCTAAAAGCATGTCGTGATCGTAAGTCAAATCGATTCAAAATTTGTTTATTAATTGATCACAGATTTACGAGATATTTTCAAGGAATTCAATTAAGGGATCATTTAACGAACATTTTTTGTTCGAAGTCGATGTTTATTAACTGATCATTGATTTACCAGATACTTTTAAGGAATTCATTTAATTCGAAAGGGATCGTTCAAAGAACATTATCTGTTCGAAGTCGATGTTCATTAACTGATCATCGATTTACCAGATATTTTTAAGTAATTCAATTAATTCGAAAGGGATCGCTCAACGAACAGAATCCGTTCGAAGTCGATGCTTGGTAGTCACATACCTTAACTGATCATCGATTTACCAGATAATTTTAAGGAATTCAATTAATTCGAAAGGGATCGTTTAACGAACATAATCCATTCGAAGTCGACGTTCATTAACTGATAATCGATTTACCAGATATTTTCAAGGAATTCAATTAATTCGAAAGGGATCCTTCAACAAACAAAATCCGTTCCAAGTCGATGTTCATTAATTGACCATCTATTTGCCACAGATTTGTATGGGAATTCGATTAGTTAGTTCTAAAGACCCAAAAAATTAAATCTAAAATATTTTACTTCTTGTTGCATTTATTTACATCTAACAATAAAAATAATATATCTCTGGTACTTACGTATTAACGCCACCGAAGCTACAGATTTGGCGGTTTTTAAGTGCCGCCAAATTTGTTGGTTTTTGTACTTACGTATTAACGCCAATTTGGCGGTTTTTGTACTTACGTATTAACACCAATTTGGCGGTTTTTAAGTGGCGCCAATTTGGAGGTTTTTAAGTGCCTCCAACGCCACCGCAGCTACAGATTTGGCGGTTTTTAAGTGCCGCCAATTTGGCGGTTTTTGTACTTACGTATTAACGCCAACTAGGCGGTTTTTAAGTGCCGCCAATTTGGCGGGTTTTGTAAACACGATTGCTCTTTATTGGCGCATTACCGCCAATCTGTAGCCTCGGTGGCGTTAATACACAAGTACCATATCTCTTTTGATTTGAGTACAGTTCTTGACAGACCATTTCTTTTGGGTCCCGTTTCGATGCTGCTAGGGGGTTGTCTTAGGAGACACCTCAAAGTTATAAGTCGTGGCTAGATGACAGGTACGGCACTTGCATCTCCACGACTCTCTCCTAACTTACAAACATCGCTAAGGTAAGGATGTTTGAATCCGACATACTTAACGTGCAGCAGACCCTCTCGATCCCACGTATGTCGAACTCCGAACCCGAGACCTTGTTACCTTTCACTTGTATTTCGGTTAAATTAAGCCGAGCATTTTATGAACTATCTGAACAATTTCATTCAAGAAATTTTTGATGAAAAAACATACGCAAGCTTCCAACGATATATAAGACAAATATTTCTTTCATTCTTATTTTAAAATAATTAAGAATTTTTGTATCTATTAATTTCATCTGTCCTAACAAAAATTTCCTCTCAACAAGCCAGAAGGCGAAGGCAGATTCTTTTGGTCCGGAAGTATAAGGAACAAAAAAGTTCGCTCCCCTCATCCACTTCTAATTTCCCAAAAGTTGAAGCGATGAAGATAAAAGAGCTTGATGAAAGCTTTACAACGAGGTATCACATGCTTAGTTAAGTTATATCAATGTTCCGCTTTGAAGCAACACGGAGGCTATTTTGGAACGGACCTCGTAATTTTGAACAGGTCAGATGACGAGGACGTCACCTGAGCTGGCATCCCCTCTCCAAACTTTTGCACCGCACCAGCAGGTGGACGTTTGATCCCCTACGTATGATTTAACGTGCAACAGGCCCAATACACGAAGGATCTTCTGTGGAATCAGGTGTCGAACCTAGAACCCTCCGCGTCCGAGGCCGATACCTTATCACTAGGCCTCCGCGGCCTCTATGACATGCTTAGGTTAAAAAGCAGACGAAACTAAGAGTTGCAAATCACTTTTCAGAACCTAACTTCTAAGGGATTGCAGCTATCGAAAAGCTTTAAATACGAAAATGGTTCGCTATGATGAGGCGATAAGTCGCTAAATTTGATTTTTTACTCATTTCAAGCATGAGGAAGTTACAAGGAAATGAAAATTTCAGACCATCCCCCTTCAAGCATGAGGAAGTTATGGGAAATGAAAATTTCAGACCTTACTCCCTTCAAGCATGAGGAAGTTACGGGGAAATGAAAATTTCAGACCTTACTCCCTTCAAGCATGAGGAAGTTACGGGGAAATGAAAATTTCAGACACTCCATCTCTATTTTCACCACCTATGGGATCGATGTCTCATCTACAAACTCGGCTGAGATTTTTACCCTTCCTATAGCACCTCCATCGAAAGTTAAAATCCAATAAAATTTACTCACGTTATCGTGTTCACTAGATACCACGGGCAAAGCGTGACTGTGTAGAAATTTTCCCGAAATCGTGTCATGAGAACCGTTGCAAAAGGCAGTCTTTCTATGTGTACCTGAAAAGGAACTGCAACGAATTAATGGAAGAAATTAAAAATGATTTAATTAAGATATTTTAATTTTTATCCATCAAAGAATAATTTAAGTAATTTAGATTCCCTCTGCAATTTTGATTTTTAGCTAAGCTTTTTTTTCCTATTATGAGTGTTTCGCTTTCATTTTAATTATTCTTAAATTCTCATTCAAGCGGCTTGGTTAGTCATTTCGTAATTATTGCTTCAGTCTTAAAAACTTAATTAAATATTTTTTTTTAATCTTCGTCTCTCAGTAAGGTTTGATTGGTTTCATAACTTTAATTGGATTTATTGCGAAATTAATACGTTCAAAACTTTTTTTCTTAAACACTTCTCGAAAATATGCTCAAAATCCTCCATTTTGTTACCAATATATGGCAGGTAATAGGATTTATTAATATCTTAAAGGATTGAAATTAATAAAAATGCAGCCAATTTAGCTTCATCATAAAAAAATGCGGAGATTATTGCAAAGGGAAATCTTATAGACATATTTCTATGACTTTTGAAAATTAAATTAAACAGTTTTTGTATTTCTTTGTCTGAATTTCTAAAATAGCAAGCGCTAATTTTTTGGATTGATTGAGACAGTTTAAAGAGATTTCATGGTCAGCAAAGAGGTTTAATGCTTGCAATCCTATTTCGAAAATCTTGAAAGTTATCGAGGAGTACCGACGAGTACCTTTACCTCGAGTGCAGAGGCTATAAAAAGCGAAATAGAACCCCGCAATTATTGGATTAAATCCTTATTATATTTTAACGAATCGTCTTGTGGGTGTACGTGAATACAGTCCAATAAACAGGATTAAAAAATTAAAGCTCTTCATTTTACAGATATTCCAAGAAAAGAAACGTAGCACAAGTTAACGAATCGTCTTGTGGGTGTACATGAATACAGTCCAATAAGCAGGATTAAAAAATTAAAGCTCTTCATTTTACAGATATTCCAAGAAAAGAAACGTAGCACAAGTTAACGAATCGTCTTGTGGGTGTACGTGAATACAGTCCAATAAGCAGGATTAAAAAATTAAAGCTCTTCATTT